CCTGGCTCTGCCTCCCGAGTGCTGAGACTAAAGGCGTGCGCCACCACCGCCCGGCCGAGGCTTGATGTCTTTTGCATTGGTCCATGTCAAGAACGCGTCAGACGCTATAGTCTGCAGTGAAAATGGCCGCTCTGAAAGGCCCTGTGTGGCTTTCTGACTGACTCTGTTTTTGAGTTTCACTCTTGACCCCCACCCCCACAATCAACACTACCAGTAACAGCACACACTTCCTGTCCTTCAGATCTCAGCTCTCGTGCACGTCCTAACCTCTCATATTTGCTTTAGGTGATCTGGGTGTTTTCTGTGGCACTTGCTGTCTTGTGTGTGGATACTCTACCACTCTGGCCAGCAGCTGCCACAGGGACCAACAGCTATAGCTATTGGCCACAGGGCTTTAGGTAGGTGCTTGGACAAGGGGTCAGTAGAACCGAGTTAAGGTACAGACTCGTCTTGGGACACCAGTGCTCTTCTGTGAGCTTCTGTTCTGGAGGCTTTTGTTGTAACCATGAAAACCACTCAGATGGTAAAGAAGGTTCTCTAGACACATGCCTAAAATCCATGGGCTCACATACCTGCTCCCAGTGGGCTCTCCAAGGGCCAGAACTGTAAAATTAGCAATCAGGAAGCATGAGCTGAAGATAGCTTTTTTAGTAAATGTTCCTGAGGGCAGTATAAGCATTTATTGTTTGTGTCCCCCAAATGGTGTTTGATATCAAGGTCATCTGTCTCAAAATAACCAGTGTGATGGGGACTGTCAGGCTCAGGAGAATGCCTACAGCCTGTGGTATTGTCTGTGCAGCCATTGTGGCAGGTTCTTTGAAATCCCTCGTTCTTGCACGTCACTCAAAACCTTGTGGACTTAGGTCATGACTACTATGAAGGAACAGTGTTAACCCCTATTTGGGCTTTCTGTGTGGGCTGGGTTGTAACTCAGTGGTAGAGTGCATATTTAGCATGTGTTCGGTCCCTGTGTTAGGTCTCAAGGAGCTCCATTGGCTCCTTTCCTGGATTTTTTGGGTCAAGAAGTGTGTTGGTGCACAGTTAGGTCTTCCAGGGCCTGAGTCAGCTTGTCACAGTCTATTTCTTAAGAATTTATATCTTGATGGCACGCGCCTTTTTTTTTTTTTTTTTTTTTTTTTTGAGACAGGGTTTCTCTTTGTAGCTTTGGAGCCTTTCCTGGAACTCACTCTGTAGCCCAGGCTGGCCTCGAACTCTCAGAGATCCTCCTGCCTCTGCCTCCCAAGTGCTGGGATTAAAGGCGTGTGCCACCACCACCCGGCGATGGCACACACCTTTAATCCCAGCACTTGGGAAGCAGAGGTAGGTGGATCTCTCTGAGTTTGAGGCCAGCCTGGTCTATATAGAGAATTCCAGGCCAGCTAGGGCTATACAGGCCTTATCTCTCAAAAGAAAGAAAACTATATCTTGCCTGTGTAGTGGGTCACATCTGTAATCTCAGTAACTCAGGAGATGGAGGCAGTAGGATTTGGAGATCAAGGCCATCTTAATCTACATGAAATCCTATCTCAAAAACAACACCAAAAGCTTATGTTTGTGCTGAGCAGTGGTGGCTCACCTTTAACCCCAGCACTTGGGAGGCAGAGGCAGGTGGATCTCTGTGAGTTCAAGGCCAGCCTGGTCTACAGAGCGAGTTCCAGGATAGCCAGGGCTACACAGAGAAACTGTCTCGAAACACCCCCCCCCCCCAAAAAAAAAATTCCAGGACAGTATAGATGATTCTAATGTAACTATAAGCAGCTCCTCCAGTATAACTGTGTTTCTACACCTTTTATATCTATTTCTAAGGATGCATAGTGTTCCACTAAGTGTGCATAGCTTGGCTTACTCATCACCTTTGTTTTGAGCATCTAAGCAGGTCTCAGCTTTTGCTGAAATATCCGAAGCTACAGTAGATTTAAATTTTTTCCCCTAGTGGTGCCTGGCCTTGTACATTCTAGGCAAGTGTGTTACCATAAAGCCATACCCCTGGCCACTCTGTTTTTCTTTTGTAATAGTTTATGAATCGACTCTTACTGGTACCTCATTTTCTTAGGTTAGATTTCTAAGATTTCGAAAGAGTAAATATGTCCAAGATTTTTTAAAATTTATTTTTATTTTTTGTGTGCATATGTAGTGTGTGTTTAAGTGTTCATGTGTGAAGGTGTGTTTGTGCCATCCATGATGTGCATGGGGTGTTCAAAGGACAGCCTCAAGCATCAGTATCCATTTTCCACCTTGTTTGAGGCAGAGTTTCATTGTTTGCTACTGTGATACATACTCTAGGCTAGCTGATCCAAAGGCTTCTGGAGATTTCTCCTGTCTACCTCTCATCTCTCCATAGAAATGCTGAGATTATAGATGCATCACACACACAAGGGTATGCATCTGGATTTTACCTGGGGTTCCAGGAATCTGGATTCGGGTCATCAGGCTTGAACAGTACAAGCTTTTACTCACTAAGCAAAGGACATTTCTTGTCTAAGGTGTTTGTGTAGGAGAAATACTTGGTTAGTATTATTGTGTTTCTTTTTATTCAATTTATTAAACTCTACATTTGCTGATGATTTCACTGAGACTTTGAACACTGCTCCACACACAGAAAAGTGAAAACTTAATTTCCTGCTGAGATTCTTAGACTTTTATTGCAGTCAGATGGCCAGATTTCATTGGTAATGTGTTTGGTTAGCTCCTCCATATTTTTATGCATATTCTTATACTTTACCTGGCATGATAGTGGGTTCAACAGACCCACCCGAAAGAAAAAGTCATTTCCTCCTGCTGAGGAGCAGATACAAGGTTACTGATAGTGGTTGCTTAGCTGGAACCCTTGCTTCTGCTGCCTTGGCCTTCTGAGGAGGCTGCTCCTAGGAGCCCAGGCTCAAACGCTGCACTGTGAGGATAGCCAAGACATCCTCCTGTGTTACCATCTGCTGTTCTCTTCTCCACCTTGGTATTCATCATGTTCAGGTCACAAGATGTTCTTTCTAGATTTGTTATGCATTTTGCAATCTCAAGATGAACATCTCCTTTAGCTCTTCTTGGTAGCTGAGCTTTCCTTTGCTCGCTCTTGGCTACTGTGTGCCGCCTGTCCTACTGTGTTTCTAGAGCCCTGGCTTCTTTATGGCTCTGTATTTCCCTTTTTCTTCCTTGTTTATCTAGAAAGCAAGCATCCTTGTCTGTCCTAATAAACTCATACACCGACATACTGCCTTGTTTACAAAAATTAACAATTAACCATTCAGTTTACTTAGCCCATAGAGTTTTATTGTTATGTTTAAAAAAACAAAACAAAACAAAAAAATGGAAAAAAGAAGAAGAAGAAACAACCTGTCTTGGTGTATCATTCTGGACTCATGGCCTTTTCTGAGGTTCAGCTTATTCTTTCTGAGCAGACAGCTATCAGTTTTTGAATGGTCACATTTGGTCAGCCCCTGGTGTGCTGCTGTCTTACAGAACAGGCAGGTGGTTTCAGAGATACTGTGATTTCAGGACCTGACTCCACTGAGCTGTGTGCTTTTAAATTTTCTTTTGGGAAGTGCTGGGAATTGAACCTAGGGCCTCATGAATGCTAAGTAAGCACTCTAGAACTGAGTTATATAAGTTTGCTGGAGTTCTTGAGTGAGGAGGACTGTTAGAGACCAGCACCTAAAGTAACTTGGGCATACTGAGTTCATTTTATCCTGGTTGGGTAGGGTGTGTGGTACATGTACTTCCATCTACCCTTTTCTCCTCTCCCTCTCTTTTTGAGACAGGGTCTCTCTGTGTAGCCCTGGATATCTTGGAACTCGCTCTGTAGACCAGGCTGGCCTCGAAATCACAGATATCCTCCTGCCTCTGCCTTTGGAGTACTGGAATTAAAAGCATGGGCCACCATTGTTCAGCTCTACCTTTTCTTTTTAGCTTTTAGTTTATCTTTGAATTTTTATTTATATTTTTTAAATAACAGGGTCTTACTGGTCTAGGACTTGACAGTTAGACTTAAGCTGGCTGGCCAGTTAGCCTCCCAGCCATTGCTTATCTTCACTTTCCCAGTGCTGAGATTAAAGGTGGACTACCAGGTTTGGCTTTATGTTGTTTTTAGTGATTTTTTTTGGGGGAGGGGAGTACTAGTTGTTGAACCCAGGGCCTTATGCATGCTAGGCACCTGTTCTACTACTGAGCTATATTAGCAGTCCAAATTTGTTTGTTTTAATTCTGCAGATTGAATTTAGGTCCCATGCTTACAAATCAGGTAGTTTACTGACTGTGCTATATCTTCCCAGTCATAGTCAGGGTAGTGTCACCACTATGAGGATATACCAAGAGCAGAGCTGAAGAGAAGGCTATATGGATGTGGGTACAATTTTTACTGCAAGTTTACTCTGAGTACTTAATTCCTTTCTCAGTTTTCCTCTTTTCTACCCCTACCCCACCTCCTTTTTTTGGGTACAGGATCTTGCTATGTAGCTCAGGCTGGCCCAGAAGCTATGATTCTTCTGCATGCTAGGGTTACAGATGTGCACCACCACACTTTGCTTATGCTTCCATTTTTAGCTATGTGTTTCCTCTCATCTTTCATATTTCTGTTTCATTGATAGTTGTTCTATCATCATTTTGTTAACAATTGCCCAATTGCTTTTCAAAACCATTTTAATAGTAACACTAGTTTTGGGTACTAGCCATAATTGTATGAATATTCTTACTTTATCATAAGTCTTGCCAGCATTGGGTGTCTCTGCATAAAGTAAACATACTCCAGAATTGCAGGGGCACAATATTATGTCTGCTTACCTTACCCTGGCCTTGGAACTGGTTAGAATAGTGCTGAGGAAGATGGGAGGACATGCCTGGATGTGAACAGGGAGAGGGAGAGAAGGACTTTGGCTCCAGTGGGCACCCAGAGCCACATAGATGTGCTGTCCTGCCTTCTGCTGTGTCATAATAAAGTGCTTATATTTGGGCTCATCTGCTCCAGGACAAGAGAGCTACTTGACTCTTACCTCTTTCCTCTGTGTTTGCAGTATGATGCTGTTCCCATTCAGTCCAGTGTGGTGCTATGTTCCTGCCCGTCCCCATCAATGGTGAGGTCCCAGACTGAGTCCAGCTCGGCCCCTGGCATTCCTAGTGGTGTTAGCAGGCAGGGACCCACCATGGATGGCACCACAGCGGAAGCCCGACCAAGTACCAACCCCTTGCAGCAGCACCCTGCCCAGCTGCCACCACAGCCTCGCAAGAAACGGCCAGAAGACTTCAAGTTTGGGAAAATTCTTGGCGAGGGCTCTTTTTCAACAGTGAGTATGTGCCTCTGCTGCTGTTGCTTATTGAGTGCAGGGTTTTCTTGGGATAACTATTGAGAACACCTGACCAGGCATTGCTTTCCCCAGGAGGTGGCTTCATATCCTTGTGGGTTGTCTTCTGCTGTGAATGCCACTAGAGTCTTGGAGGGAGTGGACTCCCCCAGCCAGACCATCTGAAGAAAGCATGGTTAAAATGGATTTTTTCTGTTTTGGCCCATACCTTTACTCCATATACTCCAGGAGGATAAGGCACAGGAGTTTAAACCTGGAAGTTTCAAGGCCTCTTGGTATTGAATGCCTGTCTCAAAAACAAACAAAAGCAGCTGTTGATTTATGTTGCTTTAAAACTACAGTTAATGCAGCATGGGCATGTATATTGTGTCTTCCTGTCTTACTGGACAGGCCATAGGAAGCTTTTAGTTCCTTAGGTTGAAAGTTAGTATCAGCGTTAGTATCTTTTTGGAGACTGTTGGTAACATTCAGTGACCTTTTTTACGCCTGTTTTTGTTTGTTTGCTTTAGAACCTGAACTATAACACTTAAGTATTTGCTGAAGAGTTGACCTCCATATTTTTTTTTCCTAACTCCCAGGCCAAGTGGGTGTTTCTGCAGAGTGGTCCAGGAGTCACTCTCAATTCCAAACAGCCTCTAATGAAACACATTTCTGTCTCCATCTCCAGGCTGAAATAGGCATTCCAGAATAGTTCCAGAGGGGCCTGACTTCCAGAGAGCTCCTAAACAACCATTCTTCCTTATACCTGACTTTGTGAAGAAGCCATATGTGCACTTTGCTTTCTCTTCATGTCTTTATTGGTTGATTGATTGATTGAGACAAGGTCTTACTACCTAGCCCTAACTAGCCCAGAACTTCCTGGCTGGCCTTGAACTCACAGAGATTTGCCTGGCTCTGCCTCTTGAGTGCACACATTAAAGATGAGTGCTACCATGACTAGCTGAGTTTTTTTCTTACTCTTTTTTTTTTTTTTGGTTTTTCAAGACAGGGTTTCTCTGTGTAGCTTTGCGCCTTTCCTGGAGCTCACTTGGTAGCCCAGGCTGGCCTC